ATATATATATATATATATGTATACTTATAGTCCGGATTCGGTCAGCCGTCGTGGGAGCCTTTAGATTCCCCAGTTGGTGTACCTATGTATATATACGGACATCTCATTCCACTTTCGATTTTACAATCATCATGATGGACTTACCATTAATGAGGGTTTGTCTCTTGGTTTTCACTTTGTTTTTGTCATTTCACTATATTATACAAATCAATTTCTAAGCATATGTAAGGGAGGTTTTTTTTAGTACCTCTTGTGGGAAAACTCCATCCGATCTCAATGATTCTTTGTTATTCAGGCTTGGATTCAGATTTAAATAATTTATTCAAGAGCCAAGGGATGAAGGCCCATGATTACCCGTGGCACGGTCAGGTTATGCGAAAAAAAAAAAAATACTTTTTGTAGGATAACAATACGCAGGTAAAGGTATTAAAGTACGGGCCTAGAGGGAAAAAAAAAAAAAAAAAAAAAACATTTTCAGGCGGATTTTTTCTAAAAACCACGTGCTCATTTTCGCGAAAATCCAAATCCGTGCAACGAAGCAATTTGCCTGCCGTTGTTTTTAACACGCCTCGCTTCCTTCCCACCGGAGCCTGCCCACAATGGGCTTTCGTTGTCAAAATCGTAATCCTTTCGATTGTTCGCCGGCTCCGCGCGACCCACGCAATCCCCACTGCCGATGGCTCGGGAAACGGAGGTCGCTCCCGGGGCAATCTCGCCCCGTGAACCCGCCCATCGTCCCACCGATACGTACCCTGCCAGCGCCGCAGGTGGTATATCCACGGAAGGCGGCGCCGCGGCGGAACAATTTCCTACAACCCGGGATTCACCTACAGGGTGCATATCATTATTATACCCAATATCACCTGCACGGCGTCTCTCCTACATTGGTATACCATAACGTGGTACACCCGCTGTTTGCCGAGCCCTCGTTGTATTATTTCGCTAAACTCCGAGGCGGGCCCTCCTTTCTTCCTCCTTCCTTCGGGAATTCGGATTATGGATACAAGTATATATATATAGGTACCCTCCTCCGGGCTCCACGAGAC